GACATGGCATGAGTTGATGAAGTCTAACTGTTGGCCTGAGTCGTATGAGAAGACATAGACCACCTAGTTTGGAGTTCTCAAGACGATAGTAATGAATGATTGGAAACATTTAATGATATGGCTGAAAACCCATCACAATGGCGCAGATGTATTCACACTTTGGCATCAGAAGTATGAACATTTTTACTTATTTACGGTCTCTCCTCCCAGACTTTTGTCTACTTTATTACCAACTTTTTCATTCCTTGCTTCTTTGCATTCTGCAGTGAAGTGTAGCAAACTGAAACGATGCACTACTCTGGTAAGTTTTACGTTGATTCGCATGTCTTCTTATTGTGATGGTAAGTCTTCAGGTTTGTTGACCGCATTGCAAATTAGATAAGTTAGATTCGATCAGTATTAAGTTGACGGACATTGGTTACTTTGTTAGGGTGAATCAATATAAATGGGAATTACTAACAATGACATGGTGACGTTTAGTATTCTTGTTCAATCATGTTTAATGTGCTAATTTGTTTATGTTTTAACGTCTATAGTCGTTTTGCATTGCCTTTGCTTAGATTATATGACGTGTGGTAACAGTTGTAGCTATGCACGTAAGTCTCTTTCAACTTCGTGTTGCAAGAAACAACAAAGACTGACACTCAGGACAGAATGTTTATTACTGACATATTCTACAATACTGAGGAAATATTATACACTCTCCATTAAAATAGTCATTTGCACAATGTGTTTCATTTCCTCTCCTGCTTCTATCTCGACTTGCTCTTATCTTAATACGCTCACATTGTCTCTTGTGTTGGTAATTGCTTATGATTTCTGCAGCCCTCCAGACATACACTACTTATATCATTCTTATCGGTAGCACCCACTACACTCGTCCCCCCGTCAAAATTTCGGGCTAACAGCCGTGTATATCGTCTTGGTATCCATTCAGAGCTTTTTCTTCTTCCCACCATCCATATTTTTGTATTAGGCTGGTGTTTACTCTATTCTCTTTGTCCCCTTTTTTGATGGCATAAACTGAACCGCATCTCTCTGTAACCATGCATGGTCCTTCCCACTTCGGTAGCAGTTTTCTTCTACCATATTCACCTCCTGACGTATATCCTCGTCCTCTACATTTCACCTGATCTCCGACTTCAAACGGTTTCCATCTACTTCCTTCTCTCTGCTTGGATCCTTCAGCATCAGCTTTCTGTTTCTGTTCTACATTTCTGATTGCCTGTTTCCACTCCTTTCTCAATATTGTCTTGTTCCACAGGTGTTTTTGGGGCCAGGTCTTACTATGTATTGGGAGCCATGCTTTCCCGCCATACATTATCTGGAACGACGATTTATTGATTGTTCCTTGTACAGAGACACGATGCGCTAATAATACTAACGACAGTCCCGTCTCCCGATTCCCTTCTTTCAAAGCCAGCCACTCCTTAAGTGTACGGTTATTCCGTTCTGTTAAAAACTATTGGTCTGCAGGTGGTACGGTATCATTCTTATCCTCTTGATATCGAGCTGCTCCAAATAGTCTTCCTTTGTGATATCGAATAGAAGGAATGATACATGTTGGTAAAGCCAATTGGCCGATGTGCCTTCTCTCGAAGAAAACAGCTCCCTGCAGAGAAGTCAGCATATAATAATTGTCATTCCCGAGAAGTTAAGCAACAGGTATTTAGAATAGTTTGTGATGATTGTATCACGGTCAATAGTTATCCGTGTCTCATGTTGTTTTAGAACCTCACCTAGTTTACTGGTTCCTTAGTTATTAGCGGGTCCTATGCCCGGATAAAGGTTAAAGGCTGGACATAGTTCTAGCGAACCTACGCCGTGAAACGAATCGAATCTCTAAAGCAAATTCAAGGCACAAATAATATGTAAAAAATAAAGTTATTGCTTGCTGGAATTGAGGAGACGAAATGATGCCGGTTGGTGGAAGCTTCCGGGAAGCCTATTGGCGAATGTGTCTTCGCTTCTCTCGACAAAACCAAAAGTAAGCATGGGGACATGGAATGTCCACACAATGTTTGAAGCTGGCTGGCAAGGCTACACAGATTGTCAAAGAGATGAGAAGGTTTGGCATAGATGTGCTTGGAATCTGCCTGGAATCAGCAGATGGAATGGAAGTGGACTCTCTCAACTGTCAACTGGAGAATCAATAATCTACTCCGATATTGTCACCCAGACGACAACTACGAGCACACTGAGTTACGCAGCGGCTATCATGATGTCCCCCTCCCAACAGCATCGAAGGCTGTCTCTCATGCAGTGGAAGCCAATCTCCTTCTGCAGGATCAGGATCATGACAGCAAGATTCAACTCAAAAGGAAGGGAAGTCATAATCATACAATGCTATGCTAGGCACCTACAAATAATAGAATGCAGATGAAGAGAAGAAGGAGGAATTCTACAGACAACTGCAACCAGTACTGGACAAGACCCCACCTCAGATGGCGACATCAGAATTCTAGTGGGTGGGGTGACATGAATGGGAAACTGAGAGAGGACAACACAGGAAGAGAACTAACTATGGGTCGAGAAGCGCTCGGTGAAATGATGAGTGAGAATGGAGAACTGTTTGTAGAATTCTGCTCATTCAACGATCTGGTGATTGGAGGCACTGTGTTCAAACACAAGGATATCCACAAAGCGACATATATTTCGCCAGACACCAGGACACACTAAGAATCAGATCGACTTGATCTCAATGTGAAGAAAGGGTGGTGGACGCAGCCTACTGGACACAAGATGAGATCAAGAAGGTGAGTAGATGTAGGTTCACATCAATCACAGTCTAGTGCAAGGGACCTTCCAAATCAAGTTGAAAACCTTCAACGAAGAAGTTGGTGATAGACCATAGTTCAAGTTGAACACCCAGAACAGAAACTGAACTGAAGGACGAAACTATAAGGGACATGTTCTCCTCAGCCATTAGGATAAAATGGGCGATATCGAGAAACATCCCTGAAGAAACTTATGTGGAAGGACACTGGAACTCTTTGAAAGCTATGTGGAAGGAAACCTGCATAATCGTGTTAGGAAGGAAGAAGAAGAGTTAAGACAAGGGATGAATCTCGACGGACACATGGAAGATGTCAGAGGAAGGAGGGAAGCAGAAGATGAACTGGTGCAGTGCGGGGATGAACAACGAGAAGAGGAGCTGAGTACGATGTATAAAACACTGGACAAAGAAGTGAAGAAGAGTGCGCGCGAAGACAAAAGATACTTCTACGACACACTGGCAAGTGAAGGAGAACAAGCTGCAGGTAGGAGAGACCTGACAACATTGTATAAAATAATCAAGTTACTATCTGGGAGATAAGAGATTAGCGCAAATGAAACAAGTGAGATAGTGAAGGAAACCTAGTTGCCGAAGAGTAGAAACAAATAAAACGGTTGACTGACCTTTTCAACAGCTATATGACGACGCCACATGCCAAGTCATTCACAATGGAAAGCACAATGACGCCTTTGAAGCGAAGGCAGCCGTAAGACAAGGCCGACTACCATGACTCATGATCTTCCTGATTGTGGTTGACTAGACTGGATCATGCAACAAACTGTGAGGAGCGGTAAGAGGGGGATGCACTGGACCGAGGAAAAGATCCTAGAAGATTTGGATTTTGCCGATGATGAATTATATCTAATGTCTTGTCGCACAAACTCGAAGATCTACAGGCAAAAACCAGCATGTTGACAGAAGAGGCAGGGCAGCAGAGACGGGACTTCCTTCAGGTGAACGTAGAGAAGACAGAGGTGATGAAGATACCCAACCAACAGCAGCATCAACAACAAGCACCAATCACCATCAGCGGGAGAAACCTAAACGAAGTGGTCTCTTTCACTTACCTAGGCAAGGCAGCATCGCCCAAACTACACGACGCGGCATAGATGAGGACGTCAAAGCCAGGATCGGAAAGACAGCAAGATATGCCTTCATTAATCTTAAGTCGGTGTGGAGATCTACTTCACTGCACTCAGCATGTGGAACAAGATCCGGATTTTCAACACTAATGCCAGTCAAGTCAGTGCTTCTATGTGATGGTTGAGAGACTTTATACATCACGAAAAGCATTTCCAACAAACTGCAGATATACATGATCAACAGCTGCCGCCTACGCCCACTCGATACTGAAGATCAGATAAATGGCCAGAAATAATAAGCAACAAGGAACTCACTCTAGCTCGCAACAAACCAACCAAGAACCTGCCGCCTAACAATATGCAGAAGGAAGCGGAGATAAATTGGGCACGCACTGAGAAGGCCAATCAGGAACATCACGCATCGGGCCAGGCCCTCGAGTGGAACCTAAAGGGGAGACGACGAGTTGGGTGCCTGAGGGTGACATGGAGGAGATCGTGCGAGGAGGAAATGAGAGCTTGTGGGCTGTCATGGAGCCAGGTTCAAAAGATTACAGAGAAGAGAGTAAAATGGCAACGTGTTACTGAAGCCCTATGTTCCACTAGGAAGTCAGGGGGAAAATAATAATAATAGGTGTTTGAAGAGACACATACACCCACATCTCTTTGTGCTACATTGAGTGTAAGTTTTCAGAGCTTCCATTAAGCCTCGTTTTGCTAAGAGTGCTTTCAGCATTTTGTTTTACAAGCGTGTGCTGTTCATGTAGGAATACACGGAAAGGTTCCTTTTGAACGACTTTTTGAAATTAGTGTAACTGGTTTGTTTGTTCTTTTTCATCACTGCCTATGTCAGTGCTAACTGCTTAGAAAATTTGCGTAGCAGGTCCTCAAAACGTTGTTGTTGCTTAAGATTGTTTAGCACGCCACAGAAAACTATACCACACAATTTCTTCGTGACTGAAAATTTTAATCGTTCCGGTAAGATCCAATATTCTGAATACTTCTGTAGAAGTAGAGGTCACAAAGTTCTTGAATACGTATTTAATCTGATTTCAATCTAAATATTGGGAAAGTTTTCAAAGACTAGTGATCTACAGTGCTGTTGATTATTAGCTTACCTTATATATGTCTTTTAATCAATTTAGGTATTGAAAGAAGAAATACGACGTTTGGAAAATAACTCGAGCAATTCAATGGAAATTCAGGAAACCGAGAATCAATACAGAAATCAGTTAAACAATTGGACCAACAACAATGTACCTATTGAACATTTAAAAAGCATATTGTTAAAAGTCATAACATTACCAAAACAATCTTCAGAACGCATTCACCTTATGCATGCGCTGGTGACATTTCTTTCTTTAAAATCAGATGAGTGTAAATTATTGGAAGAGGGTCTAAATGAAAATGTGTACTCCCCATCTGACGTGCAACAAAGTTCTTCTAGCTGGAGTAGTTATATCCCTACTGTTTGGCGTAGATAAGAATTCTATAAGTATTGAGAAATTAGTCCCATTTTCTGTGATTTTTATTTCATTTAATAAAAGATGCTGGTTATTAATTTATTTTTCCTAACTTACGGTCTAAACAACTGACTAATTTATGAACATCTTGAAGTGTTGGAGCTTTTGTCCCATTATATTCTGCTAATTCAATCCATACATTTCTTTAAACCTATGCGATCATTTTGGATAATCGTAAGGTTTCAACTTGTGAAAAATCTATTTTTGAATCCACTTTTGTTCACCTACAATATTTTGCATATTTCTCAGTTACCTTAATAAAACTTAATCTAGATCTTTATATCTTTTAAGTTTTATTTAACTGGATGATATATTCTGCGTATGATTCCTAATTTAAATGTATTAGGTGGTGGTTTCTTCTTACAGCTTTAGAAAACAATGCCACCACAAGTGAATAATTTTGAGGAAATGTGTATTATAAATAAAATCTTCAAACTTATGCTACCTGCGGATTTGAATCTCTCACTGCTTGATGAGGTTTTCTAGCTAACAAAATATTACTCGTCCCAACACTGTGGCTTCTAGCCTATTCTTCTACACTTCCATTATCTACATAATGTCCCCGTTTAAGACAAACTGTTACCCAGCACTCTCATCCTTTAGTAGTTTATCATTATCATCATTCCTAAATCATGTGCACTAAGAGATGCGTCAGACAAAATAACTACTCAACATTATAGAAACATGGAAAATAAAAGAGAGGATGGGAAGAATAACAGAAGTGAGTTATTAAAGAAGCAGTTTCAAAGAGGCATTCGCTGATTTCGCTTTCGTTCTCAGTCATAGGAGAAACAGGAAAACCACGACTTGGCAGCAGCTGTCGTCGATTTCGAGACATGTCTGCTATCGTCTCAACCCACTAGGTTACATGAGCTTTTAAATCCCACCCAGGCTACCATGAGGCACTTACAAACGTTATCCCAAATTAACTACCGTTCATCTCCTGGCACACGTCAGTAATAGCCACCTCTCCTCTCCTTTCAACCAGTTCCAGGGCAAACTCATATGAGACCCCTTATACCGTCCACATCCTCTCACTTTGCGACCATTGAGAATGATCAAAGCCATCGAAACCTCATTCCTAGTCTCCTAAGGTGTATCCTCATCTCATATTAGGGCTTTCTACGTCCGAAGCCTATGCGAAATAGGACAGCAAGCATCACTGCTAGAACTCTGGAATCCCAAATCATGGATGTTTGATGTGTTTCTGAAACACATATACAGGACCCGAGTTTGATAATTAACTAGACCTCACCTTGCGAGTGTCCACGGACGTAATGACTAGCCCTCGTGGACTCGCTGGTGTAGGCGTAATATTTAGTTACAGGACAGAAAGCACGCGTTTCGACTGGAAACCAATCAGCAGCCGTCTGTATGCTTTCCAACTGAATGGATCTGTGAGAAGCAGGAAGGATCATGAGACCAACCTTTGTCTGTTCGTAATCTCCGCCTAGGCACCCACCAACTTTAGTTCAGATGACTCAAAGGACGAGTTCTGTAAGAGCCTGTCGAGTTCGCTACGGAAACCAAAACGTTCTGATGTAGTCATAATGGCAGGTAACTTTAACGCTCAAGTATGGGACCTGAGCCAATCGGAAATGCATTTTGGATGTATTTGCGGAATCCTATCCCAATGAACTGACAGCGGTGATCGTTGAGGTTTTGTCCTCACAATCACTTATTTTTGGCCAGCACTAACTTGAAGCAGAAGGAGAGACACAGTCTAACTTGGCGTCGGTCGACATCACACCAACGGTGAACACACAGCTGTCAGTCATCGTCCCGCAGGATGGGTGGGGAATCGTCGACCTTTATGGAGTAGGATTTTGCACTCTAATCACTCAATGGTATGGGCTCGTATATGTCTGTGCTTTACTCACCGAAGCAAAATCGAGGCAATGAGGCCCATCTGTGATCGATTGATAGATCAGGACGCGAATTACGCATTTATAGAGAAGTTAGCTAAGCATTTAAATGAACGTGACAGCAGTGTTCATCCTCAGGAAACCTAGTGTGATATTAGGTCTGCCGTAGAAACAGAGGTAAAGACAAGTAGTAACCTACACCCGAAGTTTAGGGATTGTCACTGGATTTCCGCAACGTCATCCCAACTGATTCATGCGAAAAGACTGACTGCAACTCTTATCACAAAGAAAATAGAAACCAGTCAAGACGTAAATTGATCAAGAGTCTTAGCAACGATTGCGAGCAGTGATGGCTGGCGAAAGCGAGAGAGATGGAGAAAGCAACAGCATTGGGCAACACTCGGCTACTATTTAGGCTTACTAAGAATACCGGCAAGAACAAAACGATAGTTATTAAAACTATCACCGAAAGGGATGCGACGCTGATAACCTTTCAGGCCAGTCGGCTGGAACGTTGGGTGTAAAACTTCGAAGCCAAGTTTAACTGGCGCACACAAGCACTTTAGTTGTTCAACATCCAACCTGAATCTGAATGGGACGTAGATGTTGGCCCTCGAACTTTCCTTAAATTTGAGAAGGCTGTGTCGAAACTGAAACGATGCGAAGCAGCAGTACCTGATGGTTTGTCACCAGAAGTAATTAAGGATGGAGATAAGGACTTGCTGAATGAAGTGACGAAGGTTCCAGGTTTTGTGTGGGAATCGAGGTGGGTGTCGTCAGACCGGTGTACTTCACTGATCATCCCACTGTATTAGAAAGGAGAGAACTTTTCTCATGACAACCATAGAGGAATTAGTTTGTCTAATATTGTGTACAACATCCTAGGGTCTACAGTTATCCAACGCCTAACTGGAGCTCGAGAAGAACGAACCCGAGAAAATCCAAACACCTTGAGCAGAATCTTAGTACGTTTGGCATGCGTCTCGCACCTGACAAATGTAAGACGATGCTCCAGGACTGGTCTCCTGCAAGTACTACCAGTCTGGGGATAGGAAGTGAAGTGGTGGGATGTGTCGACCACTTTACTTACTTGGGGAGTTGGAACAGCCTGAATAGGTTGGTTACCGATGAAATCTTAGCTGGCATACAGAAGGGTCTTTTGGCATTTGTCAACTTGCGTCATCTGTGACGCTGGCTGGCGCGATATCCAACTATCTAACAAAGGGCGAGTATAGTCCACCCTGGCTTATTTCTCTGTTGTGGGACATGGCCGTTAAATATGAAAGACATGAAGCGGTTACAGGGTTTTCATCAGAGCTGGCTTCGTAGCATCGCTCACGTTTGGTGGAATCACTGTGCGACCTATGTTGTGTTCAGGAGTAGGTACTAGGCAAGATAGACAGGTCGATTGATGACGTTTTGAACCTGAATCGACTGAGATGGCTTGGACATGCGTCGGGCATCCCGAGCCTCCATCTTTTTCGATGTGTCATGCTGGGGGAAGTTGGATCCGGTTAGAAGAGAGTTCAGGGTGGCCATACCAAGCTTAGCACCAGTCCAAGTGGTTGTCTGAGCCATTTGGGTAGACATGCACTATCTGACTCCAGTGCTTGAGACTAAAGGAATAAGTAGTTGAGTACTGTTGGTGATGTGGCTAAAAATCGGTCCTAGTGACGCAGATTTATTCAATCCTTGACATGTTTTAAATCTTGAGCATTTACACTACCCGTTATTTCTAGATTGTTTATTTCCTCATCTAACTTTGTCTGCTTTGATATTCCTCTTTTTATATTCACCTGTTCTTTGTGTAATACTGTTAATTCTGGCAACTTTAGACAATGCTCTTGTGTACGAGGTTTCACGTTGATTTTGTCAGTCAGCCATGTTGCTGCAACAGTTGTACAACCATCAAAAGTCCTCTGATCTGCGTTTTAGGTGTCTATGAACGTTAGTGGTTAACATACCACTTACTTCACAGACCATTTCTACTCCTTCCTCGGATGAGCTGGAATAGCTTCTGACTATCCGGATGCATCAACTGCTTCCATCTCACTCGTACCACTTACCGCTAGGGTTCGTCTTCTTTACTCAAGTGTTGTCTGATCTGTCACATAAGGGAGTTACCCACACCGCTGTACCTGCTGCCGGAATGCACGGACGAGCGTCAAGAAGTTTGAACGAGCTCACGAGGACTCAGTATTTATTAGTAGGAAATTTTTCGAAGTTCCATACGGATTACTCTCCATTTCCATGGCATCTTGTAAGTGCAGACGATGTTCATGTACGCTTTAATGCAGTTTCTACAGCTATATTTGAACCAAACTCGCTTTCGTACTAAATTGCGACACTGCGTGCAACCAGTTTACTTCTGTTGACGCGTTTCCGGGGTTAGTTGTGATGACCACCAGGACGTAGCAGTGACCAACTTAATCTCTGAACAGACTCCCCGACTGGCTTTTGTCAACTTAAACCATCTATGGAATAAATACGTTATCCGAGTGCCAATTATATACAGAGTGTACTGCAACATATCTCCCTCTTTCCTACTGTATGGCTGCGAAAGCCATTAAAGATGGAGTACATGTAGCGTCCTGAGCTATTTGGCAACTATCACCTAGGTATCACTAACCGTGTGTTGTGAAACTACTGGGTTTATACTATCCAAGCTACGTGTAGGTAAAAGATGTAAGTCAGTTGATGAGGTTGTGAACTTTTGACAACCCAGATGATTTGAACATGTGTTGTGTATGTATAGTTACCATCTGCTCCGTTTCACAATGTTAAATGAGGTAGGTTTGGGATGGGAAAAGGTTAGATTCTGCCAGACCAAAACATGGCATCAGTTCATGAAGTCTTTGGCTGTTGGAAATGTAGACTTCTCGACCGGGGTTGGCTTAACAATTGAGGTCGGTGGCCGGATACCTCATGTGATACTGTTCAGAAATGATCCCAATGACACAAATATATCCACATATTGTCTTCATCGTAATTTTCAAGCTGAATACTATTGTTTTCTCATTCTTCCGTCTTATCTTTTGATATGAGGTTTGTCAACTTGCATTCATACTTAGTAATGAAAGGTCCTATGTTCATACTGACCGACGGTAGGAACTGAAGAATTTCACCAGCGAATGTTGGTAAATATCATATCACTTTAAGTGAGTGTAGAGTTTTTCGTTAGTAATTCTTTATTCATGGTTAAAGTATCATTTCAAGTAATGAGTCGATTCAGTTCACCACTATTTTTTGGCCTAGTAAAGCTCTGCAAATTTCAATAAAAATGTGAATTCACTGAATAACATCCGTGGTTCACTGAAAATGACTCGACAGTACACTTTGGGGCTGTTAACATTTCCTTTATTCATCAAAACTGACAAGACTTCACCGACCAAAACTAGCACTATGGAAGTACGTTGTTCGCAAATCACTTGCGTAGGTGGTTCTTCATTTGTCTAGTGTGACGAATCTTCAAAATTTAGCCGTCGCGTATTTGGGGGTTCCAGCCTAGTTCCTATGCTTTTGCAGATGAACACATAACGTTCTTTTAACTACCCTAATCAAAGATTATTGGTCATATTAGGCTAGTACGTGGAAATCATATTATACTGGTTCCAATCTATAACTGTCCTGACTTTGAAGAAAGAAA